CTATGGAAGCTTCATCCAGCTCAGATGAGGAGTAGCTGGTGCCACAAGCAGAAGTGGTGCCAACACTTTCAGTGGGAAAAGGAAGAGGACCCACCTGGGGCTGCCATGGAAGACTGAGGAGAGCTACAGCAGGGCATGGAGCAGAACCACTGCCACCACCCCCAGAAAACATTGCAGCTGATGACACCTTTGAGGAAGGAGTGGCAAAGTGTGGGGAAAAGGTCCACAGCAAATACATCATCAGAGAACAGCCAAGGACTTAGTCTATGAAAGTGCTGGGCCAACAAGAGAAAGGAATAAAGACAGTGGTGGAAATGTTCCACCTGTTTCTCTCACAAGATGTCCTGAGTGCTATCATAAGAGAAACAAACAGAAAGGCAAAAAGAAGATTCAGGGAGTGGAATGACAGCCATCCTGAAAATAGAAAGGAGTGGAGAAAGTTGGATGAAACAGAGCTGAAAGCCTACATTGGCTTCCTACTGCCGAGTAGCCTATACCATGGTGGTCACAAGGCACTAGAAGAGTTGTGGAAGCAACGCACTGCCTGTCCTTGCTTCTGTGGCACCATGAGTTTAAAATGATTCTGTCAAATCACCAACTACCTGAGATTTGACAACAAACTGATATGTGAGGAAAGAAGAGCTGTAGACAAGCTTGCTGCCTTCAGAGATATTTGGACACAATTTGTGGAACAGCTCAGGAAATGGTATATTCCAGGAATACACCTGACGGTTGATGAGCAGCTCGTTGCTTTTGGAATCGCTGATCCTTCAGATAATATATGCCCAGTAAGCCTGCCGAATATGGCTTGAAAATTTGGTGGTGCTGTGATGCACCAATATCATTCCCCCTGTCTGGAGACATCTGTCTGGGCAAGCAACCAGCAGCTCCATGCCAAGGTGATCTTGGTACCCAGGTCATTGAAAAACTGGTTCATCCCTGGTACAAGATGGGAAGGAATATTGTGGGTGACAATTTCTTCACAAGTACTGAACTGACAGAAAGACGGCTACAGCAGGACTTGACCTATGTGGGTATGGTTTGTAAAATCAAGGTCGATATCCCAAACGAAAAGCAAGCAAATTGAAGGGAAACCTTTTCATCCATTTTTGCTTTTGATGGGGAACTCACTCTAGTTTCCTATGTTCCAAAGAAGTCCAAAGTTGTGCTGTTACTGTCAAGCATGCACCATGACCTGTCAGTGAGTGGAGAGCAAAGAAAGCAGGACATAATCCATGACTACAGTAAAAACAAGGGTGGGGTGGATAACCTTGACCACTTAGTCTATATGACCACCCGCAGATGGAAAATCAACAGGTGGCCAATGACACTATTTTTTAATATGCTGGATATGGCTGCCATTGCCAGTCTCGTCATTTGGCTAGGCCACAATGCAAACCGGAAGCAAAGATCATATTTAAGAAGACAGCGCTTTTTTTTGCCGTAGGTTGGAGAACAGTTGATCAATGGACAAATAAAATGAAGAATGATGGATACACGTAATCTAAATCCATGAAGTCTAGTATGACTGCCCTAAATTACAAATTGCCACACCGCACCCCAGTAAAACCTTCTGCAAGCATGAGTGGATGTTGTGCTTTTTGTCTTAGGCTGGGGGTTGGACTCAATGATCTGTTGAGGTCCCTTCCGACCCTAGCATCTATGAATCTATGACAGATGGCCACAAAACCTGGAAACAATGCAAAGATTGTAAGCAATTTCTTTGTGTGCACGACAGTATATCACTGCTGCTTTGTGAGGAATGCAATATTTAGTTAAAACAGTTAGGAAAGATTTTTGGAAGTAATTGTTAGTTTGAAAACAGTGTGAACTGCAGACTTAGCAAACTGTTCATTCAAGTTTTGAAACTCTAATAAAAGTTTAAATTTGGTTCATAGTTCTAGTAAAATAATATTTTGGGTTCAAATCATCATAAATACTCTTTCAAACAATTTATATGTTTAATAAATTTTTTTTTGGTACATTTATATTGTTGTCACTGGTTCCATTTTGTTCATGTGGGTGGGGTAACAAGTTATCCCATGAGAACAACAATGGTTACGGTTTCATGAGAACAGATGAGGAACATAATGGATCAAGAGAAAAAAAAAGTCCATAAAAACAAAGATAACAGAAAAAACCAGAAATGATCTGCAACTATTATGACCTCACAAAACCACCAAAACAGAAAACAAAAAAAAAAGTACTTCAGTCTTCCAGTGCTGATTAAACCTCACCCATAACCACACATTGTACTTCCACATGTAGCAGCACCTACCTGTGGCGTGGAACCATATGAGAATAAAATGTCAAATCTGACTCTGCATGCACTACTTGCATTTAATTCTACTCATTTGTGACAGCAGTTCTTAAAAGTAACAAAGACTTATGGAGCGCATCTACACATGTGCTTTAATGTGCAGTAGCTTATTTTTCTGTACATTAAAGCGTCATGTAAAAAAAACATGCAATTACACTAATGAGCAGTAAAATAGGCTACTGCACATTAAGCATCACTTAATAACTCTGCACTTTTGGTATTGCACATTAGGGCAGCCTAACGAGCATTTATTTAGTACAGGGGCAAGCAATTATTTTGGCTGGAGAGCCACTTAATGAGTGTTGGTGAGCTGTCAAGGGCCACAAGGGTAGCCCTGCCTCTTGACATGTGCCCTGCTCCCTGGTTGTCATCTTGGGGCTGGAAGTCCTGCCCCCTAACCTATGACCTTTGCCACCAGAAGTTCCTCCCCTTGCCCCCATAAGTATTCCTATGGAGAATGGGTGTTGCCATCTTGGAACCAGAAAAAACCCACAAATTATATACTAAAAATCAAACACTGACAATGGCATATTTTAATTTTATTTAAAAAATATGTCCTGATTTGTGTATGGTTTTTTTTGTGTATATAGAGGTGATTGTATAATAACTCAAACTGAAGTCTTACTTTTGTATATTGTGGGGGGATGTAGGGGGGTATGAGGTTTGTGGGAGGGATGTAGGGGTGTGTGTGTGTGTATATGTGTATGTGGGGTGTGTGTGGGTGTTGGCAGCTTCTGTTCCATGCTGATGACAATGAGCCTGGCCAGGTGAGCCCAGAGCAGGTGTGGGGTGCATGGGCTCAGGGCTGTGCAGCACAGGTCTCCGTAGTACTGTGGGGCTGGGGCTGACAGCGGTGGCAGCTAAAAGGAGCCGCTGCCACCTGGGCTGCCTAGAAAGCCAGTCCAACTGTAGAGCCACCCCATGCTACATGCTCAGGGGGTGGCAGGATACACCACAGCCAAACTGTGCATGGGCAAGGCAGGTCCAAGGGACCCACTGTGGGCTGGACAAAGACCTGCTGTGGGTTGGATCCTGCCCATGGGCTGTATTTTGGCCACCCCTGATTTAGTACCTCTTATTAGAGGGTGCATCTACACGTGCACTTTAACGCACATTACCTTATTGTTATGTGTATTAAAGCATCATGAAAAAGCTGTCCTCTTTCGCTAATATGAATTAAAATAGGCTAATGTGCCTTTTTCTAGTACCACACAATGGGGGTACTAAATTTAATGCGCATTACCAAAGCACATTACTGAACATGTAGATGCGCCTGCAGGTACTCAATTTAATGTGCATTAGGAAAAGTGCATTAATGCACAGGTAGACACACCCAAGGGTAACAAACATAAATCCCTGTGCTGAGAAAGAAAGAGATATCTTATAGAAGGGCTTGGAGAGTTGTCTTAGCCATAATCCATCAAATTTACTATTCTTATATCAGATAGAAGTGGCAAACTATTCTTAGGAATCATTAGACATTGACACAGATAGCTATTATTAATCTGATTCTTGTCCATCAGTTTGCATGTTGCCAGTTACTTTTCTATAGCATTCCTGTAAAATGGTATGGCAGAAGGCAGGGTAGCTTTGTACCTTATAGGTTAAGTAAATCAGACCTGTATATCATAAGCTTTCATAAACCCCAGCTTAAATGCTAATATATCAAAATGATAAAATAGTCCATGCATTTTGCAGCACTGTAAATGGTTACACACCAGAGAATGAGGTAACACTGAGTCTACCATAAGTGACTGGTGTCATACAGACAGTGTACTAATTTAGATAAGATGATCTAATATTATGATAGTCTTCATGCCTGAGCTTTCCTCAGGAAATTGGGTAATGATGGACTGTGACTTTGTGGTAAGTTAATGATAATGAAGGACAAATTATCATTCAGGTTTTATGATGGAGTTCTGAAGCAATGGGTTTATTTCCTAAGAAGACTAGTAATGATACTGTACATATATATTCTAATATCTAGGTTACTGTGGATTGTTATTGGATTAGGTTAGGCACTGGGAAAGCATATAAATTCTCCATATCTACCAGTACAGCACATAAATACACTATCTTCAGCATCTTGTTTATTCTGCCAAGATGCAAATTGACTAAATCATCCTGAAATTGTTTTTGTTTTTAATGTCTTTGATACTTGAGCAGAAAAATATAGCTCTTTCTTTTTGATGTGGTTCATGCTAGCAAGATTTACACTATGGTTAATAAGCACCCATGCCCATGCCCATGCCCAAAGTTTTGGACGGCTGTCCCTTTAACATTTAACTGAAGCCTTCCCTATTTTTTTAAGTATAAGAAAACATTTTTAAAAATAGGTTTTCATTTATTTATTTTTAAAGACGGCAGAGTCCAATTCGGTGTCTGGTGTAATTTCCCTAAAATCAATCTGAAGTTACAGCATGTGATGAAGTGAACTTGGGTTCACAGAAACTTGTGCTCTCCAGATATATTATATTAGTTACTTAGGGTGCATATATACTGTCTGCTGACTGACTTCAGACTAACATGATTAACTACCTCCATTTGAAGTTACACCAGCAATTAACCAATAGTGATCTTATAAAGAATCTTGTAATTCAGCAAATAAACAAACTGCCTATATAAATATGCTAATCCAAACCTTGATTGTTAAAATTAATATCTGGAGATTTCAACTTACTTTGCACAAGTTGATGCGAGTCCAAGAGGTCACTCAAGATAAGGATAACTGCACAGGCTTGAAAGAGGAGTCCCATACTTGCAAATATACACAAGTCTGACAAATGCTCAGATTGCCGCTGGAAGACTTCATAACATTTCTTCATGAGTAATCTTAACCTCAGCATGTTACCATGTTATTGCATTATACCAGAGACTGGAAGTAACTAAAGGAAATGACAAGAGGAAATAAAAATTAGCATGCATACATACTACTGAAGGGAAGCAGCACTATTGTTTGCATACATTATTACTACTATAAATAAAATAAAAAAAATCCGAAATAGATATCTATCTATCTATTGTATAGTGTATATGGTATAGCACATCATATATGTGTGTGTGTGTGTGTGTGTGTGTGTATACATACACATATATATACACATACATATATATATATGTTAATTTCCCTATATAAATAGAATTAAATAAATAAATAATTAGATAGATAGCCAGATAGATATGATATAGGGAGAGTGATATATATATGATGTGCTATACCATATACACTATACTATAGATAGATAGATCTCCCTCCCTATAGCACTCTTCCTTGCCTTAGTAATATAGATCTTGACATGACAATATTTTGCCTTTCTGTTTTTACTTGCCATACTTTCAGATTATATGTACATGTACATATGTGCGGGTATATCTATACACGGAGTTTTTACACACCCTTTCCCAGAGGTCCAACAAGGGGGGGGTCTCACGCCCAGATTCTATTTCACTGCTGAAGCCACTTGAAGTCTATTGCTTCAGATTTGTATGTCTCCCTCAGGCACCTCTGAAGCACCTAGGTCTCCTGTTCTCTCAATGAGGAGCCCAGTGTGTCTATTAGATGGTGGTTCTGTTCCAGCTCTCTTACTGGGGCAAACTTTTGGGCAGCCTGACATGTTTCCATGATCAGCAGGGATCCTGGTTTTCCCTGATAAAAACCCCCCTGATTTTTGGATTAAAAAAGTAACCCCAAATCCACATTTTTCTGTGATCAAAATAAAACACCACTATATACATTACACACATGTATGTATATATACACACACACATATGCATGTGTATGTATACACACACACACACGTATTTATGTATTACTGTTGTTTCATTTTAATCATGGAAAAATATGCATTTTAGGTTAGTTTTTAAATCTGAAAACTGGTTTTTCAAGTTTTTTTATCAGAGAAAACCAGCATCCCTGATGATCAGAGAGACGTAGTAGGCTGTTAGTCTGAAGCCAGCTAGAAGGCAGGGTAGAGCTATATTTCATAGATTAACCAAAGGTATATAGGTAGGTATACAGGTAGGTAGCACAAGCTTCTGTGGGCTGAAGCTCACCTCATTGACTGCTGTGATATGTGTGTGTGTGTGTGTGTGTGTGTTTGTACACACATATAAACACACTTGGATTAGTTTATAAGGTCCAAATCTACCCTGCTTTTTGCTTCCATGAAGTCAGGATCTAACCTGATCTGTCTTATTCAGAGAGGAAGCAGCCTGTTGGGATCCAGTTCACCCACAGACGATATTCATCAACATACTTGACTGACAGGCAGCAGCACTGTCTTCAACATAAAGTAAAAGGGAGGTGGGCAAAGGCTGGTAGTTATGATAGTATCCATCTCTTGCCCAATAGTCTATGAAGTGGGAGAAATAGGTGTGCTCATGGTTTTGAACTGAAGGGTTTTTTAATTACACCTGCAACTTCCCACAACAGTGCCTTAAATACGTTACAAGTTTGGTTGGGCTGAGAGTATTCTCCACCCTTCCTGTTGAGCTGGAATAGTGGGTGAGAAAGAGAACATGAGTCACAAAGTGAGAGGGTTCAATTAAAGGAGTGTGAAACTAGGCCTGAGGTACACAGCTGGGAGAAGGAAGTTCTGGGTTCTTTCCCAGGCTTCCCAGGTTTATTTCTGCTTTTTAGCCAATGACCATTTAATGTAAAATGCATAAAAAATCCAGTGAGCACGTAAGCGGAAGTGTATCTATTTAGGCCTGAAAATGGTGGACTCTGGTTTCTGCTCTCATTGCTAGATGCCCATTTTATTCAACACAAAATGCACAGTCATGGCAGCGAGGACTAGGAGTCCCTTCTCCCAGCTGAGTACTCCGTTTTTCTTGGTTTGGCCACCTTCTTTACAATATTCATTATATCAGGGGTGGGCAATTATTTTGGGCAGAGGGCTGCTTACT